AGCTTAGACACACACGTTACCGGCCCCTTGTCCCCCTCCCCTCTAAGTCATACATCCACACCCCCCCCTACCTTTTTTTACACAAACACACACACTCACATGTATACTGACATACACACACACACATGCAAACTCAGAAAAGAGAGGGAGAGAAGAAAGAAAGAAAGAGACAGAAGGAAAGAAAGAAAGGAACAGAAAGACAGACGGACAGACAGACATGCATACATACATGCAGTCAGACAGACAGACACCACCTCATTTCCAACTACATTGTGTATACACAAAGTATTACCACCATGTACCACACAACCATCACGTGAGGATAAAAACAATACTAATTGGCCTATGACTAATCTGATGTACTTACAACTGTGGGTCACCGGACCACTGATGTCTGCTGCCACACACTCTCTCTCTCTCTCTCTCTCTCTCTCTCTTCTCTCCCCCCCCCCCCCCCCCCCCCCCCCTCTCTTTTACCACGTTTTTTTGGGGAAGGGGGGGGGGGGTCTCGCAAACATATTATACATATCCCCTCACAAATGTTCCGCTCTTCAAAAGGGGAACTTTTAAAAGACTGCTGATAATAAGTACGTGAGTTAAAGTTGTCCAAGACATACACCCATTGCAGAGGAAAAACTGGCCGTCTTACACAGTGTCATCATTAGTTTTAGTAGAGGTTTTTACGGCGCTCGCAACTGCATAAGGTCATATCAGCGCCAGAAGATTAGAGGTGTTACAAGAGAGTAACAAACATAACAACGAAGAAGGGGGGATAAGGACGATAGATGTTTGATAGGAAAGAAGAAGCAGCAAACCACATCAGCAGAGCACCCGCCAGCCACCCACAGGGTCATCATTGTGTTAGAAATACACAAGGGAGGAATTGGAATTGAGAGACCGTTTGTACAGGTAATCGTCTCCTACAGATGGCTGTTAGAACGGGCTCGACTGTGTGTTTTCGTGATCACACACACACACACACACACACACACACACACACACACACACACACACACACACACATCTCACACACATGTACCCCCCTCCCCACAACACAGACACACAT